CAGACCAATAATGAACAACAGGATTACATATTTTTCCATCAAAGTAGAGGCCTGGACCACATTTCTATAACAGTGAAGACAACAAACATTTAAAAGAGTTAATGCCAATCTTTCTCAAAGTAGTCCAAAAAAGTGAAGAGGAGAAAAACTAATAACTAATAATCTAATAACTTCCAAAATAATTTTATGAAGCCAGCATCACTCAGATACCAAAGGCAATAGTACAAGAAAAGAAAATGACAGGTTAATATCCCTGATGAATACAGATAACAAAATCCTTAACAAAATTAAAGCAAACAAAACTCAATACACATTAGCAATATCATGCATCATGACCAAGTGAGATTTATTCTAGAGTGAAAAAAACATTCAACATAGAGAAATCAATAAATGTGATACACCATACTAAGAGGATAAAGGACAAAACCCACACAATCATTTTAATGAACTCAAAAAAAATCTTTGACAAAGTTTAACAGTTTTAATAATTAGCACCTAGATATAGAAGACATACCTCAGCATAATGAAAACTATATATGACATATACATAAGAAACATCGGATTAAGATCGGGAACAAGACAAAGATGCAGACTCATCACTCCTGTTCATTTCTATTATTTCTTTGTTCTATATTCTCTGGAACTTGACCTTATTTAGTAGCATATCTTAATTTATTAATACTTATATGAAGCCTTATGGAATATAGAAATAATATCCTGGGGGCGTAAAGAATAGGCTATAGATGCCAAATCAAAATCAAAATGGCCATTGAAAATGCAATAATTTTCTCTCCTTTTGCTTCCAACCCCCTTCTTTCACTCCTCTCTAACTTTGTTACTTTACTAATTTCTGTGATCCCCATCAAATAGGTCTCTCTTTCCTCCCAAAATCCCCAATTTTGGGACTAGGTTATTCAGCCTCATGATTTATGGCCTTCAAAAGCTGCCTCACTAGGTTTATTATTTAAATTATTTTATTTGCACCTTAAAATGTTTGTCAGAGAAGTAGCACTATGGCCATTTTCTTATGAGGAAAAGTGAGAACTCTCCAAGTGTCAAGAAAGTTGCTCAAAGTTACTTAATTAAGACAAAGAACATGAGTTAAATTCATTGTGTTTATATCATGCCAACTTGCTAAGGTTGGATTTACTTCAGTGATGTCTTTATTGAAATGGTTAAATATCTTTTGATATTTAAATATTTAAGCATTTTGAAATGGTACAAAATAAACCACATGAAAAAATTAAAAAACAAAATGGTCATGCAGCAAAAGGTTAGACTCATCATAATCTTATCCCTTGGGCCCTTATCATACTTCCTAAGATAACCACAGCTACGCTTACTAAATATAGCATATCAACATACAGATCATAATTCTTAGTGATTTAATTTGCAAATAATGTTTCAAGTACTCATATGTGAAAAATGAATCATTTTTCTGTTAGTTATTTTCTGTTTATATGAAGAAATAATGATCCCTCTTTGGAAAGCCAGCAACCTCATTGAGCACCCTTTTCTTATGAAACCCTGACCACCTTCAGTTATAAATTATAAATGATAATCAAAAAATTTACTTGTTAAACAACTTTAGAACCCACTAGAAATTTCTGAGACAAAGAAAACAAGCCTAAAGCTTGTTGATAGAACTATTTTAAATCACATGCTCCCTAGATAATTCCTTGCTTCAGCAGGTGCCAATTCTAGGATTTCAACATGAAAAGGGAGGTTGTGAAAGCACCTTAGGCTGTTCCTTCTGGCATCCCTGAGAGATGTCAATTTCTTAATGGTCATCTAGGTGACTAAACTGTGGAATCTCAGAGTGAGGGGAGGAACACCCGCCTCATTTTTTCTGAGATGTTGAGAGTCTGTAACAACTCAACTCAAAAAGAAGTTCCTGCCTCTCTCTTCAAAGTCCCAGGTCAGTCCACTGAATATTTTTTTAACTACCATACCAGTCTGATCAAGTTTGAAACATTGCAGAGGCTGAGCATTCTTCTGGGTAATGAACATGAGGCGTGAAGTTTTCCCAAAGCCATTGTTGGGGTCTTCTCATGGGAGCAGGTACAGACCCTGAAGGTGCTATGAGATTCACTTTTTCATATGCAGGGACATCAGTCAGAAGAAAAAGGATAGCAGGACATGGACTTACTCTAAAAAGTTCCAATCTTTAGGGCTTTTATCCCCCTTTTTTATTATTGCTGCATTGGGGGCACATAGTGACATTTAACAAAGTTCTTACAATATATCATAGTTGAATTCGCCCCTCCATCATTCTCCTGTGTTATCCCTTCCCCATCCCCAGAAGAGTTTTAACAGGTCTCATTTTCTCATCTTCACATATGGAGTGCACACTATTTCCACCATATTCAACCTCCTACACCCTTTCCTTATCCTCCCTCCTCCTACTAGTGCCAACCTCCAGACAGGACCTATTTTACCTTCCTGTTCTCTAATTTTGAAAAAAAGATGTTTTTATTTGTTTAAGATAGCTGTACAGGGAGTTTCATTGTGACATTTCCATGTCCGTATGGATTATAACCTGAATTGGTTCATCCTCTCTATTTTTTCCTTTCTGCATTAGTGCCCTTCTTATGGTGATTTCAAAAGGTTTAAAAATTCTATATCATTCTTGTATAGAAGTACATCAACCATATTCACCTTCTTAATTTCCTCTCTTTTATTATCTCTCTTTTATTAGTGATCTCCCCTTAGTGTGAATTTTTTTTCATAACATTACTTATATTTGTATTGGGACTATTTTTCACATATGAGAGAAACATGCCACTTTTGGCTTTCAGAACTTGGATAACTTCACTTAACATGATGTTCTCCAGTTCCATCTACCTGCAAGATTTCATCCTTCTTTATGGCTGAATAAAATTCCATTGTGTATAAATACCACATTTTTTTTTACGCCCTTTTTGTGACATGTCTGAAATCATTGTTTAGCTTTGGTAACTTAGTAGTTCTTAATTTTTCTACCTTTTTGAGCTCACATTTCTTAAAGACTACTGTGGTTGTATATTATAGTAGGCACAGGTTTTTGTAGTAAACTTTTGAGGTAGGAATAGTTTTTGATTTTTAATTTGCATTTGTGTAAACTAATCTTCAGGGAGGCCAAGAAATATTTAATTTCACACAGTAATGGTCCCAGAATATTTCTGTGTGTCCCATAAAGGAATATTAGCTAAAATGTTACTCAGGTTTGTAAGTTATACTAAAATTATTATCAGTGAGTACTGTGCCAACCAGTTTGATTTATTTTTCATAGAATATACATGAAAAAAATAGTGGTATAAATAACTTGCAGAACCCTCACTCCTTAAATTGCAAGCAGGTTCCGGAATCCTTCTAAATATCTCAAAAAAGAGAAGCTGTTAAGGAGTCAGATGAACCACCTCATATAGGAGAAACAAGCACACAACATTTAAGAAGTGTGAGTGGGAAAGTGTCTAAGTAGATGAGGTCGAGAGTTTGAGCCATTTTGAAGAAAATGTGCATTTGGGTATCTCATAGAGCACAGGTCACTGATGGTTACAAGAGTCACAGAGACAAGCTCAATGGAAAATGTGCAAATGTGGAACTTTAGGGAGTGAACTCTGATAACCTAGAAAACTGAGGGGTAGATGTTGCCATGTTCAATGGACCATGTGGAAACCCACAAAGGGTGGGACTATCAGCAATCAGGAAAATGAGATATGATGTTTTGGACTTGTTCAAGTCAGTGAATTGTCAAGAAAAGTTGTAAGAGTAGTGGCCTTGGTAAAGGGTAAGTTAGTTATAAAGAAAAAGGTGGTAAAGATATGGCTAGGCCTCTGCATTACCATCATTAAAGAGAACAAAATTGGATCCTGGGCAGCTGAAATCGAATGGGGTAGTGGTGTTACATAAAGGATCTTTGGGAATCAGTGTTAAAGGGTAAAGCACCATTCCTGATTATAGAAAAGCATCACTGTTGTCAGAGAATTTGTCATATTTTCCAGTGGTCACCTGACACTGGCATGGGAAACCTGAGACAAGGTCACAAGTGAATCATTGTGCACTTGATTATGCACAAGGAAGTTTCGTGACATCAACATGAGTGTGGCAAGTCACTTTGGGATTGCGCGGAGATGGTATTTTTGGTTGGGAAATAAACACATCACCCAGTCCTGGGCTGTTTCCTGCCATGTTGGGACACCTGGCCTTTATAAAGGGACTCTCTATCGCCCTGATGCTACCGCTTGCAACTCCGTTGTAGATCCTCTTTGGAGACTCTGGTGAGTACAAACCGCAGAAGCCTTTCTTGATACTTGCATGATTTAGACTGTAACCCAGAGGAGTACGATCATTTCTTTTAACAAGTTAATGCTGATAGGTGAGGGAAAGAACATTATTAGGTTTGGGGGGCAATTTTAGCTATATTTGGTAGGTGACTTTGAATGTGGTGAAGGAAATGGAGTCAAAGGTACAATGTCAAATGAAGGAATTTGAAATGGCTCCACATCCATTCAATACACCTCCCTCAGAGTGCCATCTCCCTGAGTGATGGGCCTTCATAGTGCTCCTGTATGACCCATGGTCAGCTCAGTGAAATAGGGAACCAGCTCAGCACTATAAGTAAGCTCAATTAAAGGGATAGCCATGGCTTCCTGATTTAACTGGATATTTGTGTCATGCTTGTCTAGAATTTCATATCTGGAGCTTTCTTCCCTCCAAAGTATTTGTTGTCAGAAAATATCTGTTGCCGCTTTGTGCAAATTTTATCTTTACAAACTGGTAGAATACCAGATTAGCCAAGAAAGCAAAGCAAAGCAAAAGAAAAAACGTTGAAAAACTGTGGATAAAAGTTCACAAAGAGAAAAGTGAAGAAGTGTCACAAAATCACAGTGTATTAAGGATTAAGTAAGTCCCTGGAGAATGGAGGATTGATGTCCTAGCTCATTGCTTCCACAGCAGGACTGTCTTCTTATGAATACTTTAGTATGTTTATCTTTCAGATTCTCTGAGACACAATAGAGATGTCTTACCAAGAGCAACAGTGCAAGCAGCCCTGCCAACCACCTCCTGTGTTCATACCTAAGTGCCCACAGCCTTGTCCACCACCAAGCTGTCCACAGCCCTGCCTCCACCAAGCTGCCCACAACCTTGTCCTCCGATGAGCTGTCCAGAACCCTGCCCTCCACCACAGTATCCTCAACCCTGCCAACCACCACAATGCCCTGAGCCCTGCCTTCCACCCAGGTGCCCAGAACCTTGCCTACCTCCTCAGTGCCCTGAACCATGTTCACCTCCAAGGTGCCCTGAGCCATGTCCACCTGGTCCCTACCCACCTGTGCAATGCCCTCCTCCAATATGCCAGCAGAAGTATCCACCCAAGAGCAAGTAACAGCACCAGAACTCGCCAGGCCCATGAAACAACAAGACTCTGTGGCTCTTCTTAGACTCAAACTCCATCATTCTCCCTTCAGCTGTGGTGACAGATTACATCTTCTCTGAGCATATGCCAGGTTGAATATCTTCCATTTTGCAGCTGATAACATATTCTTGAAAAACGAATAGCAGGGTCATTGCCTGATAATTGCTTTGCTGTCTCTCTGTTTGTGATCTAGGGTGGTGGTCCATTTCCTGTGAGCAAGGGTGTCTGTTTTTTTGCTTCTTCAATAAAGTACATGTTTCATGGTTAAACCCACACATTGCTTTTTTTCATTGTATGTTTTTCTGCTTCCATTTAATTATTAAATAAGGCGTTTCCATCACTGATTTCAGTTTCTTTCGAAATCTGTCTTTGAATTGTTAAATTAATAATTCTTTCATTGAATAATTTCATTAAATTATTTTCCCTTACCTACTTGATGACTTTGGAATAGCTACTTAATCTTTCTCAACTGGAGTCTTTGAAAAGTAGGAAAAAAATATTCAGCTCATTGTGCTCATAGAAATGAATTAATATATTCTCTTGTGTTCCTAATTATTTATTATGTGTCAGTCTTCTCCATGCTGGGATATGGATACTAGAGACCAAAGTCCCTGTTCTTATAGAATATATATTCTTATTTTTTTTTTTGCAGGACTGGGATTCTCAAACTCATGGCCTACACCTTGAGTCACTCCATTCTACTTTGTGAAGGGTTTTTTTTGAGATAGAGTCTCATGAACTATTTGCCTTGTCTGGCTTCAAACCATGATCCTCCTGATCTCTGCTACCTGAGTAGCTAGGATTACAGGCATGAGCCACCAGTACCCTGCTAGAATGTATAATCTAAAGGAAGTTACATACACATTGAATTCTGTGTCTGTTCTCTCTCTTTCTGTCTCTCTCTCTATCTCTGTCTCTCATACACACACTATAACTCACACAGAACAAATGATTGTGATTCATGTGTTATATTTTAGTGAAACGTGTAGAAATACTCTTTTAAAGTGACTTTTTATACAAAGGCATAAATGAATGTATGGAAGAATGAGCAAAGAGCACATGTGGGTGTCGATTGTTTCTAAGAAAGGGAATGGCAAGTTCACACAAGGTGTAAAATGGCAACAAAAACTGTGGTCAAAGAAGACCTCTGAGAACAGAGTGGTTGGGACTCTGGCACACTGTAATGATTTTGATATAAATTCACAGTTTGACAGACATATTATGCTAATGGTCAAGTCCCGGTGTTTTATGTTGATACAAATTCTTCAACTACACATATAATTTCTTTTACATATCATTCTATCTCAGTACACATGGCAATTCAAAAGATTTTTCAAAATGTCTAAAGAACTGAGACCTGGATGGTGGATTAGAAGCATCTAGCACTGGCTCCTGAAGAACACATACTGAAAACAACTCTGTTGGAGAATGCCAGTGTTCAATAGTGGATAGTCAGAGACTTAGGAGAACCCAAAGACCTTGAAAGGTAGAATGTTAGTATCAGATAAAGTGTACCAACACAGATTACATGGCAGCATGGCAGAGAAGTAGTGAGACTATAGGACTGAATTTGGCACCATGCAAAAATGCAGTCTCTGGAATAGTCCTCTGCACTTCCTAGCAGATACTCATGGTCTTATAATGTGAAGCTGTTTTGAGAAGGTCTTATTTCAGAGTCAAAGGCCCATGCAGTTTCCTGTATTGGGGAGCCTACAGCAATGTTACTACATACATTGTCTCAGCAGACATTGCTTTGAGATTCAGTTTGGCCTCTGGGGAGAGTTACTGAAATAACCTGCTGAGAAGTATGTTGGTGGGAAACTGGTCTGTGTGGCTTATGGGAATGTATGTAACTGGGCATGGTGGCAAATGTCTGTAATATCAAAACTTGGGGGCTGAAGAGGGAGGATCATGAGTTGGAAGGTCAGATTGGACTACATAGTGAGCCCTAAATCAACAAAACAACAAGCAAGCAAGCAAAACTAAAAGCAAGAAGAAATAAGTAAGAACAAACACAAATGGAATGCATTTTACTCTTTTTGTTTTTTGCTGACACTGGGGTTTTGAACTCAAGGCTTCAACACTTTCTAGGCCAGTGATCTAATACCTGAGCCATGACTCCAGCCCTTTTTGCCCTGGTTATTTTTGGAGATAGAGTCGTTACTTTTTGCCCATGCTGACCCGGACTAGGATCCTCTTATTTTAGAATTCCCATCCTTGCTGCCATGACCAGCATCTACCACCATGCTCAGATCTTTCCATTGAGTTGGGGTCTCACAAACTTTATTTGCCTGGGTTGGCCTGGAACCACTATAATCCCCAATCTCAGCCTTCCAAGTAGCTAAGATTAGACATGAGCCATTGGTGCCCAGTAGGTTATACTTTTTGAAGGCAGGAAGCTCAAGAAACCAGCTGCAGAATTTCTGGGAAACAGATTTCACATATATTATGTGTGTGAGCCAAGTCTTACATGACTAGAATTGTGGCAGTGAATTGAGCAGATCTGCTGCCTGCCTCCTCCATCCCTTCACTAGCATGGATAGTTGTGACTCTCAAAGACTTCTGCAGCACAAAGGACACTTGGACCATGACATGCTGTAGCACCTGGTGTCAGTCCTGCCCTTTTAAAACAGAAATCAAATAATTCCACAACAAATATTTGTTGGGGAGTTCTATGTTCCTCCTCTTTGTACTGGCAAGCAAGGCAGCTGGGAGGTATTTCACTTGGTTTTAGCCACAAACCACTCCCACTGGTATGCATCACAAAGGAAAGAAGAAAGTGGTGAATAACCCCCAGCTTTTGCCATCTCCAATTGCCTATAGCCTAAGAAGAGGCAAAAAGCAGCTTCGGATCAGCATAGGTTATGGAACATCGACTTTTGCCCACTTCATTGACCATCTCAGCAGAGAAGAACTTTGTATTTTTGTTATTGATGTGTTGCATATTACACATCGAAACTGTTCTTTCTATTTTGACTTTTTGCTTTTTACTACTGAATCCAATTTCTCTTTTAGTTTTTCATCTTCTTTCTTTTTTCCCTTTTCAAAATTAATTTTATTCTATTTTACTCTATTCTATTTTAACAAACTTTTAGTTATTTTATATCAGAGTTGCCTTCTTGTTATCTCTTGTTGTTGTTGGTGTTTTGTTTTTACTTTGGTTGGTTTGTTATTGTTACTGCAGTTATCTTCCTTTCTATGCAGTGCTGGGGATTGAGCCCAACTTTGAACATGTTGAATTGGTTCTCTGCTGTTGAACTATAACTCCAGTCCAGCTGATATAAATTTCATCTTACTCCACACATGATCCAGTCCCACTGGAACTGTGGTGAATAATTCATCTTAAAGAAGAGAGGAAATGAAAGTTTCTAGCCAATGGTTCAATTCCAAGTAGACATGGCTGAGTGGGGTAAACACACAGTCCTGGACATTTACTGTCATTGCCTAGGATAGGGAAATAACACAAAAGTTGTGGACACTGCTTATATGAAGGATTTTATCATAGGTTGTTCTTTTATTATATCAGACCACACATTGCTGGTAAGTCAAGAGGAGTAACTACAGAAGGCACCTGCATATATTCTTCTGTCTATCTCACACTTGCCAGACTACCAGAGTGATCACACTCTGGAAGACTTACAGAGAAAGAACGTTCTCAGTTACCAATACAGTATGCATTATGTAAAATCCACTAATCATACCCAAATAAACCATAGGGAAATTATATTAGATGTTAATTGAATTAAACTTCACACAATGCAATCCCAATATCCAAGGACATACTGTCAAATGGAGAGTGCTTACTAAAAAGGCCCTCACATAAAGTGGAAGAGTTACTCACTACGTAACAGATGCACAAATACAACATAGAAACTGAGGATATGCGAAAATACAGGCAACATGAACTCTTTCAAAAGTTCAAAACTCTAGCAATTAATTGCAAAGATATCATAGCAGATGAAGTGGCAGATAAGAATTCAAAGAATGGTTTAAAAAATAATGATTGAATTCAAAGATGATACACATAAACCTATGAATTGATTCAAGGAAGAACAATACAGTATATGAAAGAGAAATTTTGATAAAGAGGGTGGGTAAACAAATAAGAATTAGGAAAGAATCAGACATTATCAATTCAGTAACATCAACAAATGGATATGAATAAGAGAAAGAAAACAGATTATTCAACAAACAACTCAGAAAGAAGGGGCTGGGATCGTGGGTCACAGTGCTTGCCTAGAATGTGTGAGGCCTTGGGTTAGAATCCCGGAGCACCATAAAAGAAAGTAAAAAAAAAGGAACAAAACAACTAGAAGAAAAACAAGGAAGTTATTTGAACTAGTACATACCTTCAATAAATAACACTGATATAGTTTAAATTTCTTCTATAAAAAGACAAAGGTTTGGGTGATTAGATTAAAAAACCAAGATCTAACAATTTGCTGCCTGCAAGAAACTCACCTCCACTGGCAAAGACATATATAGAATGAAAAGTGAAAGCATAGAAACATGGTATTCCAAACACATGGAATCGAAAGCAAAGAGGAGTATCTAAACTTACATGTGCCAACACAGAACACAAATTA